CCCTCATGGTCCTCCTACAGTGAAGCTCGCAAAAGCCTGAACCACAGATGGGGGCTGGAGTCAAGTGCAAAAATTACGCAATTAATTTGGCTTCATTTCTGGTCCTCCTCGTATCCCCTCTCATGCCTTTATAACTGCTCCTGCCAGGGGGCAGGATGAGGAGAAACAGGAGAAACTGCTGCCGAACACCTCCAACAAGAAACTTTGCTTAAAAAACCAGGTGTCACGTTGTGGCAGTTCAATATTTCATAGCCAATACAAGGAATGTGCAACAACACTGCAACTTTAAATCTTTGCCTCCCGTGTCAGTCTCTCTCCTCTCATTGTAATGCCAAAGGGAACAGCAATCAGAGTGGAGATGTTCAACGTGATAGAGGTCAGGACACCAGTGGATCAACGTACCAGAAACACGACCTTGTTTATTTTTTTCCCCAGTATTATTGTTTACAGGGTGCTTTGCTCATGTACCTTGTGGTTCTTAGCTAAAAGATGAAATTACAGCCCAGGATGAAGCGCTCAGGCACACATCCAATTTGTGTTTCCATCTCAGAAAAGAAAAAGCTTCTGAGGCCCTCGGGCTGCCATTCAAACTTGGAGAGGCTGACATTTTTAACAGCATGAACCAGAGACTGGCAGAGGGAATGATCTAATGCATTTCTGACTTGTCAATCAAAGATCTCACCTCTGCTGTCTTGTAAACAGTTGGGGGCCACCTAACTACATTCATAAGCAGGGGAGCGCCTGCCGCCAGCCGGGGGGTGCTGGAGCCGCATGCTCTGGCTATTAGTCACCAAAATTATGATTCCATTTTGGAGGCGCACCGTAAACAGCCCGCGGGCAGATTTCACACGGCCGCTGGGAGAGCGCGAGGGGGGAATACAAAGCAGGCCTGGTCGAGGGCGGCCATGTCTCCGTGCCGATGGAGCCTATTGACGGGGCACCCCATCTCTCCCCCAATTAGAGACAGAACCACGCACACCAGCAAACGCCTGCTCCAAAGCCGAACAATTTCCTTCAAATGCTTTTCTTGCAAATGCATTTCTGACTATGCACAGCTTGCCCACCCCGAGACTTTAGCTTTAGTCCTCTGTATAACCATAAATAACGTACTGCTGCTCACATTTACACTGTATTTCTCAGCAATAAAATATCAACTTTTAAGTCAAAAATGCATGAACAGGCTGAAGGAAATTTAGAGAGACAACCGTGTCTAACAATTTACTGACAATGCTTCTTTAACAAATGTTCCACTTCCTAACAAGAAAATATAAACATTAGAAAAAAATAGATGTAAAAATCATTTGAGAAGTGAGTTCGTCTCTTCCTCATGGGTGCAACAGGCTTCCATCACTGCAAACCATTTACATCTTTCACACTCTCACCCTTCTCCAAAAGTGATCTCAGTCCAAAGAAAGGAGCGGTGTACGTCATGTCCATGCTGCACAACCTGAGGTGAGCTTCTGTTTACTTCAATTTGCCTAGAAGAGTACGCCCATGCTTTCCTCGACCGGGACAGAGCTGCCAAGACCAAGGAAGACATACCTTGCTTCTGCAAAACCAAGCAGAAGCTAGTCCATCCCCCCCGGTGCCTCGGCTCCAGACAAAGAAGTAAAAGCATGACTCTTGTTCCAAAAAGTTTACAATCTAAACTGGAACTGATATTCGTGAGGGGTGTCAATTCGGTAAAAAGGAAGAGCTGGACTGTTCTCTCTGATTACCCTGATACATAACCTTTGGCAAGACTTTTAAATTGCTCCGTAAGTCTCCTCATTTATACAACAGCTTACAGAAATAAATTCCAGTAAATACTATGGTCTTCTGCAAACCTGGAAGGATTAATACAACCGTTTCCTTGGCATACTTGACGGGTGTAATTGTAAATCAGAATTTTCAGAGAACTGCGACTATTAAAAGCAACATAAACTGAGCCTTGTGAGCATGCAGGGAAAATATTTTAAAAGGGAAAGTAATTATCTTCAAATGAAAAATGTCATGAAAACAGACACCTGTTGGCACATCTGGAAACTTCCAAAGCACGGATTTCTAGGAAAAAGAATATACTCTGCGTAAGGGTTTTTTTTTTTTATTAAGAGAATCTTCATGCAACCTAGTTTTCAGTTGCTTTTCAGAATAACAGTACAGTAAAACTTGGCATCCAAGACACTGAAAACGGAAGGGCTGGCCTTTTTCCCTTGTTAAAATATGCGCTTTGACTCCTTCCCACGGCGCCTTATAGGAGTTCATGTTCCAATTTGCTGCCATCTTCCACTATGATCTCTATGAAATTCAGTTACACGATAGACTATCAGTTGCAAAGCCCTTTGAGATAAAAGATGTTAAAAAGAACTGTTTCCAGCTCCTTATTCCCCTGCTCCTGGGTTTTGCCTTAAAACCTTTCCCACTGTGGGAGGATTGCCAAACAGAGCTGAGGAACCAGAAGATCCTGTTTTCACACAAGTGTCTCCAATAATAAAAACACACAAAGAAGAAAAATGAAGTTATCTGACATATTAACAGAATCATCTCTAAATCGACTATCTGCCAATGTTTCCCATGAGGAGTCAGCAGGGCTTTAACTGAGCTATTCAAAAAGAGCCTCTTTCCACATTTCTGTCTGAGCATCTGAAGGTAAGCATGTAAATAACTAGACAAATTCAGCAGTGACTAAGTAGCCTTCCAGATGGCATCTTCTCTTTTGCCACAAGCAAAGAACATTGATATGCTTCTCCAGTTACTTCAAGCTTGCTACGGAAAAAAGAAAATAACTTAATATGAGAAAATTTGCTGGGCTACAAGAAAGTCTTTAATGCTTTCCTGAAGATTCGTTACCAAAAAAAGCATTAAAGAACGATGAAATATTGTAACATCACAGTTCCAAGCAGGCTCCAGACCACTCCCATGTAGACTTCTGCACTGGTAAATGCAGAAGCCATGCCTCTTAGAGCGGAGTTTTCTTCAAACCATGCAAGTTAATGGGGATCAAAGCCCATTGAAAAAAAATGGACTGAAATATGGATGACTCATTGCTGCAGAAGCTGTTGCTGGCAATTTAGTTTCTCTCTCTATTGGCACTAAACGCATTCCTCAACACAGGAGTTGGAGTGCTGTGAAGAGTACCAGTATACCTACCATTTTAGATGGCAAGTGGGGCAGACTTCCCCAATTCCCATAGTCACTAAATACACATAGAAACGTCTCTCAAAATCT